GCGCAGGCATCCTTCGCATTCTCGCGGTGTTTGTTGTCAGCATTCTGATTTCGCCACCTGCAGTGGGCTGGATAGTGCCCTCCCCAAAAAGTAGTCCATGTCCTACTCCTCAGAACCTGTGAATGGGACCTTATTTGGAAAAAGGCTTTGTAGGATTCTTCCCTGTTCTGCAGCCGTGTATATATCTGCGCTCGTGGGCCTCCTCGCTGGGCCTGAAATACGGGCAGTGTTTCCAATTTAAAGTGACTACATGTCCACTACTTCCCAGGTCCGAAGGCAGAGTTCGCTGCCCTTCCCTGCTCCCCCGACTCCTGCCTGGGCCAGAAGATGAGCAAGGCTGTGTACATAGCAACTGCAAGTGCAGTCCTTGGAGAGGTGGGTCTCGGTTTGCGTCTGGTTCTCTCATTAACCAAGGGCCTTGGACAGATTATTAACCCCTCTGAGCTTCAGTTTCCCCTTCGGGAAAATGGGAGTAATGGACCATTTTGATGATTAGATTACAGTGTTTAGCACTGTGCCTGACTCTGTGTGCTTCGTAATTGGAGAGAGTCAGTCAGCCTGTACTTTGAGTATCCAAAGCTGGGACTAGCCTAGGAGCTCTGGCTCAAATCCAGCCTCTCCCTCTGCCGCCCCACCACAGCGCTCCTCATCTGTCCACTGTGCGCAGCGCTGGCTGCAGCAGCAGCCATGACGGTGGACTGCAGAGTGGGTGGTCTAGGAGAGTAAACAGCATATGGACATACATGAGGCCATATGACAAAGCAGCGTGTCATACAAGAGTGTGGGTCTGGCCCTGGCTGGTGTAGCTCAGCGGATTGAGCACAGGCCTGCGAACCAGAGGATCTCGGTTCGATTCCCAGTCAAGACACATGCCTGGGTTGCAGGCCAGTTCCCAGCAGGGGACACATGAGAGGCAACCATACATTGATATTTCTCTCCCTCTCTCCTTCCCTTCCCCTCTAAATATAAATTTTTTAAAAAGAATTAAAAAAAAAGAGTGTGGGTCTGGGGTTAGACCTGGGTTCACAGTCAGGCCCTGTGCCCCTACCTCAGTGACTTTGGGGGAGTTTTATTTGCCTCTGTGCACCTCAGTTTCCTCATTTGAAAAATGGGAATAATAGGGGCACACACCTCATAGGGTAACTGAGAGAATTAAATGAAAGAAGCTCATAAAACATGCAGCATGTGCCTGACTCTCTGTAAGCACTTGGTGTATTTGAGTGGAAACAACCAGCTTCACTGTGGAGCATGGTGAGTGCGTGGAGGCCTGAGCCCCTGGGCAGCACAGGGGCGGGGGTGCCCTGGAACAATGTGACAGGGAGACCTGGGGAAGCACATTCCCAGTGTCCTCTGCTCCATGGACTGCTGATTCTGTGCGAGTGAATAGCACACAGGGATTCGCTATGGTTCTTCGTACCATAGAGCCTTTGGCATTTTTCTGGTGGTGTTTGTTATGGTCTTTCTTTATTATGGTTATCCTTTATTCCACATCAGTGCAGGGTCAGCACTGGGTAACTAACTGTGCCTACTTGAACCCAACTTTGAGACTGAGCAGTAGGAGTGGTCATTGGTAGCAAACCGTAGGGTGTCTGGCTCCTGAGCCAGATTCTGTTTATGGTGAGTCTGGCTTCTGGTGAGTCTTTTTCACCTGTGGCTGCACAGACGCAGGGTTCCTCCTTCCAAGGAGCTTTTCCACTGTGTGTGGGACTGGAAGTGGCTCCGGAAGCCGGAGGCACTCACACTCTCACCGTCTTCTCAGCACCCAGCAGGAGCACAGCGTGGATGGGCCAGGAATGAGTGGGAAACACAAGTTTACGGCCACGGTTGGGATAAGTCCTGGGATTGGGGCTTGGGGTTGGTTCTTTTAGGATTTTTTAAAAGAAAGGAATAAGAATTACATATATTCTCTTTTTTAATGTCTTTTAAAAAATATTTTATTTATTTATTTATTTATTTATTGAGAGGGGGGAAAGGAAGAAGAGAGGGAGAGAAACATCAGTGTGTGGTTGCCTCTCACGCACCCCCTACTGCCTACTGGGGACCTGGCCCAGCAACCCAGGCATGTGCCTGACTGGAAATCGAACCAGCGACCCTTTGGTTCACAGCCCGTGCACAGTCCACTGAGCTACACTGGCCAGGACAGAATTAGGTACATTCTTAATACTGTGTTGTTAAGAGTCTTCTCTGAAAAACTCTGGAATAACCACTGACTTTGGGATTGTGTCTGTAACTGCTCATGGGGCACCTTCGCCTGGGAGTCTCCAGAGTTCCTGAATCTCAGCATGCCTCCAAATGACCCTTATATTTTTGCCAGACATGCTCTTCCCACAGCCTCCACCTTAATTGGAATATCCCCATGCCCTTGGTCACCTGACGGTTGTCCTCCATTTGTCCCCTCTCCCAGTGTCTCTTTTAATCAGTCACCAAGGCTGTTGATTCTTCCTTTTTAGTGTCTCTCCTGCTTTGCCTTGAAGTCCGTTGATACTAGTGCTACCTCAGCTTGTGGTTATTTGCCTCATATTTTCATCCTTCCATCTCATGATGTTTTAGAAGTTTCTTTCATAAACAGAATCCAAAGAATCTGTCCTAAATGCATTTAATTTATTTACATTTTTGGGATTTGACTTAAATATATGATAATGTTTTGAGTATTGGCCATATACCTTCTGTTTTGCTTTTCTCCTTTCCTGCCTTACGTTAGATTTTTTCTTTATTCCCTTTACTGGTTTGAAAAATTACATATCTTATTTCTATTCTTACTCTTACTTTTCCTTCATCTTTTTACTATATGAAAATAGTATAGTGAGCCCTGGCTGGTGTGGCTCAGTGGATTGAGCACCAGCTTGCTAAACCAAGGGGTCTCCAGTTCAGTTCCCGGTCGGGGCATATGCTTGGATTGCGGGCCAGGTCCCCAGTGGGGAGGGTGTGAGGGGCGGCCACACAATGATGTTTCTCTCTCTCCTCTTGCTCTCTCTCTTCCCCTCTCTAAAAATAAATAAAATCTTGACATAGACATTGAAAAAAAATAGTACAGTGAACATCTATAGTTTTACTTTAGTTGATACATTTTATATATTTTTGTTTTGAACCATTTTTTGTTTTTTATTTTCTTGCTTAGGCTTGGTGTGCTAGGTGTGTTTGAAGACTTAAAAACACTTTTATTTTGGAATCCTTTTAGATAAATTTAGATTTTGAGAGTTTCCGTATCACCCCCAGGTTCCCCTAATGTTATCATCTTACATTTAAATTTTGTTTTTTTTTTTAATTCTGGGAAATTCTCAGTCATTATCTCCTTGGTGTCCCCCCCCCCCCATTTTTCCTGCTCTGGCTGTCCAGAACTCTGCTGAGACCCTTCCACCACCGAGTCCCATGTCTGTTTTTTGTGTGCTGCTGTATCTTTTTAAACATCTCAGCTTTTTCATTTCTTGCTCTCCTTCAGGTTGTTTTGTTATTTCTGATTCTCGTGCTCCTACTTGACCTTTTTGTGCCCAGTGCTTGTCCCTGTGGATGGTTTATCTCCTTGTGGGGTTCGTGACTCCGGGTTGCGGGCGCATCGCCAGGATGGACTCTATTTTACGGGCAAGTTTTATGCCCTGGGTTGTGAAGGTGTTTCTCGGAGCAGTTTGCTTCTGGTGGGTCCTTCTATATGTGTTTCAGTGGTCCTGGCTCACAGCGTTGTGGGTTTCTTTTTTAAATCCTCATTCAAGGACATTATTTTTTTCATTGCTTTTAGAGAAGGAGGAAGAGAGAGAGAGAACATCCGTGTGAGAGAGAAGCATCGATTGGTTGCCTCCCCTGTGTGACTGGACCAGGCCAGGGGATGCACGCACCCGCTTGGGACTGGAGATTGAGCCTGCAGCCTTTTGGTCAGGGGACGACACCCCCAACTGAGCCATATCGGCCAGGGCCTGGCTCAGTTTTTATGTTCATTTCTCAGCTTGGCAGCCCATTCACCACTCTGTTAGTATAAAGTCAGATTCGCATTCATGGGTGGGGTAGCTTAGTAGTTTAGTGTGTTATGGGTGACCCCCCCTCTCCACACAGCCTTGGGGAAACGGCCAGCTTCTTGTCGCTTTACCGTACTGGGCAGCCCTGTAAGGCTCTCATCTTGTTATCTGGACTCAAAGCCACGATGAGGTACTAAAACCACTTCATATGTGGTTTCAAAAGTCTGTAGGCCATTTTGGTGTTAGTTCCACTTACTGTTCACATTTCAGTTTTTCTTGTGATTTTTGGCATGTGGGATATTTTTCTTTCGAGTTTGACTATATGTTTAAGGATATCATTTGCTTTATATAGTGTTTCTGTGTGACTGTAGTGGGAAGGGGAAGTGCTTTCACATTAATTCAGTCCACTGTATTGCTGAAAGTTCAAGTCTAAGCCCTTAACATGGTGGACAAAGCCCTTCATGATCCAGCCCTTGCCTGTCCTACATAAACTTACCTTTTTTACACTTCAGCATGTACTGCAGTGCTTAAAAGCTCATGTTTTAGAGTCAGCTGTTTGACTTAGAACCTACATTTATCCTTTTGTAACTTGTAATTTTGGACAAGTTGCTCATCCTCTCTGTGCCCTACTTTTCTCTTCTGTAAAATGGCAACGGCTGGCGTATGGTAAACTGGGTCCTTATTAGCGCCCTCTGCTTGCAGACTCCAGTAGAACACACTCAGGCTTCTGCAGCTTTGCACATGCTTGTTCCTCCCAGGGAGTGCCTCTCCCTTTGTCTGCCCTTCTCATCCCTTTCAGAAGAGTGGCCTTTGCTTCTCTGTGCTGGGCCTCTTGTACAGGAATTATCACTCTGTGGGTTGCTGTCGTTTACATGTCTCCTTTTTTCACCAGACTCTGATCCCCTTGAGAACATGGTCTTGCTCTTCTTGCTGCTTGAAGCTCCTGACATTCTACTTGTCACTTGATGGTGCCTGTTGAGTTGAATTTCTGTGGTTGACTAGAGGCAAGAGCTGGAAGTGGTGAAACACAGATGCAGGAAGAGAGAGCAGGAAAGTTTGGTTTTTTGGAAAGTTGCGTGCCGAGTTGGTGGAAATGTGGCTGGGACACAGGGTAGCAATTCTCAGTCTAGCTGAGGGGCCAGAGATTAACAGCCAGCAGCCAGAAAAAGCCACTACATCCTGCAAACTGAAGTGGTTTCTGGCATTAGGAATTCCTGTCCCACATTCCATCCCCAAACTCAGTTCTCTGAGTGCCAGGCAGAAGAATACAAACTAATTATAATCCTTAGTGGGCCCTCAGAACCTTTAATTTTAGAATAAGGCTTCACTTCTAGAAGAGACCATCACTTTAGGAGTGGATGATTACACATATTGGGGCCTCCAAGAAGACCAGGGCATGGAATCTCAGTAGCCTGGTGTTTAGAGAAAATGTCACCATGACTGCCCATCATTTCCAGCTCAGTTAAGGTTTCTACCGCTTTTGAGACTTCAGCAGTGAAAAATGGCGGATTGAATAGGCGCCTGTGCTGTCCTCCCCCTAAGATTCACCTGAATTCTCTGCCCTCTTGGGACTATTGCAGGAATATTCTCAGATTTCTGAAGATCCCTAAAGGGTGTCTGGCAGACCGTCATCTGGCGGGAGCAGTGAATGACCACAGCACTAACTCTCAGGCCCCTTGGCTGGGATTTCAGGAATCAGCTTCAGCTCAGAGGTAGGTGGGGTTGGTGGATAGCTTAGGAGCACACACACGATCACCATTGGTTCTTCCAGACAACTCGGTCTGTAGTCATGAATTCAGCACCCGTGTGTTTACTACTGCGCTGGATGCTATTGCTGAAGATACTGAAATGGTAGTGACACAGTCCCTCTCCTCAGAGAGGGAAGCTTGTAGTTTAGTTGGAGATAATTCCTCGCACACAGGAAGCAGGAACCAGCAGTGCAAGACTAATGCCATGTGATGCTGCTGTGTGCGCATTCGTCTCTTCGACAGCTGGTGCTCGAATTCAGAGGAGTGATTCTCTTTCTGAGATTTGGACAGTCAGTTTGTTTTCTTGGATGATTTGCTAGCACTGTTACAGACTGATCTGATATTACTCAGACTACCTTTTATGTTTCTGAGGAATGGCCCCAACTCTGTCTTTATGAACTTCTCCTTTCTTCCATTTCTCTAAATAATGACAGGTTAACTTTACAGTGTCACTTCCTGATCGCCAAGGTCTCCTGAGGGCAGGTCACCAGCCATTGCTGCTTTTAGGCATCAAGGTTTTTTCCTGTGCATTCTCAGATTGTTTCTTTACCTTTCTAGTTTGACTCCATTTTCCTAGGAGACTGCATCTCAAAGTGATCGCTGAATCAGATCTCTGGGAGTGGGCCTTAGAATCTGTCGTTGAGGGTCAGAGGAAAGTGGAGCAAGTTGAGATCTGAAGCAGGTATGGATGAGGACTCCAGGTCGACAGGCCATGTAGTCTGTCATGTCAGGCGATTGTGGAAGTGCCACTGGATCACAAAGTACCCAAGCTTCTTCCAGTTCGCTGCTCTGTGATTCTCGGGGTGTAGCTGTTGTCTTTATTGTCCAAAACGGCTGCCATGGATCCAGCTACCACATCTATATTCCAGGCTGTGGAATAAAGAGAAACTGAAGGATGATGGGCCCCCTCCCTCCCATGTAAGGATACTTCAAGAAAATCTTCTATCTCTACTACTTACTGTGAGGGAAAGTTATTTAATATCTCAGAGCCAGAGTTACCTCACTTGTGAAGTGGGCATAGTACCTCAGGAGGGCAAGGATTAGAGGGCGAGGAGTAGAGAGAATGCACAGAGTGCTTAGCACAATGCCCAGCCTGCAGCGAGTGCTCTCTCTGTGGTCACTGCTGCCACAGCACACCCAGACATCATTCCCTGGCCCTTCTGTCCCCTGCTCCATCTCTCCATGGTCTCTACCCTGCCCCTCATCTTCCCCTTTCCTTTGTTCTGGCACCTTTTCCCTTTGTTCCTACCCTACCTTTCCCCGGCATTGCCTCTCTTCTCTGCCCCTAATTTTCCTACCCCCCTCCGGCCTCCAGCCCTCATCATCTTCTTTATTTAACCTAACTTCTTCATCCTTTCCTACCTCTTTCTTGTATTGCCTCTGTCCCTCTGTCTTCCTGATGTTCCTAATTAATGGCAAGGTATCATTGTATTACAAAGAGTAGATGTGGTAGATGGTCTTTGAACTGGAAGTTAACGATGAGTAATTTAAGAAAACCAAGTTTAATTGGTTTATTCATTAATCAGTTAGGAAGTACAGTTGGCAGTTAGTAAGCAGAGACCAGAAATAGCAGTGGCTTAAACCAACAGAGGTTTATTCTCTGTAAGTGTTTAAAAGAAACCTGGGAAGACAGTCCAAAGCTGGTTTCTCTGCTCTGCCATCCTCAGGGCTGTGTCATGGTCTGAGATGGCTGCTGTAGCTCCAGCTGTCAAGCCAGGTTTCCAGGGACAAGGGGGAGAGACAAGCAGGACACCTGCCAACTGTTTGTCTCCTTTCTAAGGACCTTCCCTGCAAGTCCCACCCAGTAATTTCTTCTTTGCCTCATTGGCCTCCCGTAGCTGCAAGAGAGACTAAGAAGTCTCTCAGCTGTATGCATTCCTGCCTGAAATAAAACTGGGGGAGCACGTGTGGCGTACACAGTCTGCAGGGTCTGCTGCCACTCACTCAGCATTAACTTAGCCAGTTGTCAGGACCAGTGAGGGGTGCCATGCATGGGGGAGACCTGGATGAGTAAACAAAAGCAGTACAGGGTGAGGATGGCAGGGGAAGAGGAAGCGTGGAAGAGGACTTGAGAAAATGTGCCTCACACCCCTGCCAGGAAGCCGCTGGGGGAGCGCCAAAGTTGATCGAATCAGCGTTCTCCTCTGCCGTTCAGTTTCTCCGTGCTGTCTCCTGTTCTGTCTCTCTCCTTTAGTGTCATTGTCATTGTCGTTGTAGGTTGTTTTTGCCCCTTCTTTCTGACCCGGCAGTAGCCCTTAGAACTCGAGGAAGTGGGAACAGTTGGCAGCTTAGTGGGAGCCTCTGGGACGGGAGCCATGTGTTCAGCCCAGTCCCAGGCCCGGGGGCACCCGGAGGCTAGTGGCAGGAGTGCCTCCTGTTCCTGGACATGCCTCAGCGCTGCCAGGAGACGTTGCTGCAGGAACGGGTCGCCCTCAGGAGGGGCGTTTCCGACCGAGCCCCCAGCATCCGCTGCACTGTGCCGTCCCTGGCAGTTTGTCGTGAAGTGAAACCATCATAGCAGTAAAATCCTTCTGCAGGTCTCATAGAATAGATGTGACTGTCCATGCTGATTAATCCGGAGTCTCAGGATGCTGTAGTTAATCATTTGTTAAAAAAATATATACAGCTTCTGCTTTCTATAAAATTTCTCTGCCATTAAAGATTGATATTCCTTCTTGGAACTCAAAGAGAATTTTAGGAGTAATTTGTGTGACCCGCAGTATCTTTGATTTCCATCTTAGGAACACCTATGCCCTCTTTCCTTCTGCACCCCTCACCAGTTTCTGTTGCGGCGTCAGTGAAGCCATGGGGAGCCTGCTGCTACAGTAAAAGGGAGGCATATCCCAGCCCTTGAGGGTTTAATCTTTCAGGGAAGGCAGAGGGGTAAAAGGTCATTAGTTCTAGTCCAGTACATTCCTTATGAGCTTGGACTGTGACCCTGGGCAAGTTACCTAACCCTCCTGTGCTCAGTTTTCTCATCTGCCAAAAAGAAATCCTGGTTGTTACAGGGATTAAGAGGTGCTCAGGAAGCACTTGGCACATTCAGTTGTTACTACTACTGCTCTTACCCTCTGTCGTTAGACCAACAGGTTGGGGGCCCGTGTGGGAGGCCTTGGGTGCCACGTGAAGAAGCTGGGTTTTATTCTTCGAGCACAGAGAGCTGCAGGAATGGGCAGGGATGTGACCAATCATGTGTGGGCTTAGGAATGTCACCAGCAGGAGTAGGGAGGCTGGACTGGGGGCGAAGAAGTGTCTAGAGATAGGTTCAAGCGGGGTGGTCAGGGCCTGAGCCAAGACTACCACAAAGTCAGAGAAAGGGGACAGTGGATGGTTGAAAAGAAACTAGTGAGGAACAACCCACATACATAACTAGGGAACACTTTCCATTGACTGGTACGGGGGCGGGGGGTTGTTGGAGGAGGAGCAGGTAAAGGTGGTAGGAGAGGAGAGAGGCATGTGGTTATTTCTAGCCCCAGGAAGCCCTGCCATGTGCTGTGTGGAATTCTTTGAGCTGGGAAGACTAGCAAGCCCCTCCAGAGGCCCTTGTCTTTCTCCCTTGGGTTGCTTCTCCCTTGGGTTGCTTCTCCCAACTTTGGGTTTGCATGTTTGTCAGGTGGGAAAGCCAGGCCTCTCCCAGGCCTGGATCAGTCTGAGCCACAGGACAGGGTGGGCAGCATTGATCTACCAGCGGCCCTGACCCCTTGCTCCTGCTTTGGCCCTAGGCTGTCAGCTCTCAGCTTTAGGCAGAAGGTGGAATCGCAGCAGTTGTTGCTCCTTCCAAGGCTGCAGGGATGCTCTGGGTGAGCTCACAGACTGTTTTCAGCCCTTCCACCTCCGCCTCTGAGCCTGTTACAGTGTCTGCTCGGCCAGCAGGGCCTGCTCCCTGGTTCAAACAGACTCCCTTTAGTTTACCCTCAGGATGAACTTTAAGCACTTGTGGAGGACTGTGGTGGTAGTACAGCTCAGCCCCTCGTTTTAGCTTATTTTTATGTTAAAATATTTAGTGATAGAAAAATAACACCTTGGCAGATGAGAGTTATGCGACAAAAAGGGATTGGATGTGGGATCTCCAGCCCCACTCCCCAGGGGTGAAGGTGATCAGTTTCCTGTATATTCTTCCAAAAAATTTTTAAAATATATTTTATTGATTATTATATTACAGTTGTCCCATTTTCACCCCTTTATTCATTCCCCTCCGCCCTGAACACCTCCTCCCACCCTCATTCTCCCCTCTTTAGTTCATATCCATGGGTCTTACATATAAATTCTTTGGCTTCTACATTTCCCATACTATTCTTGCCCTCCCCCAATCTATTTTCTGCCTACCGTTTATGCTACTTATTTTCTCTGCCTTTTCCCCCCTCTCCCCCTCCCACTACCCTGTTGCTAACCCTCCATGTGATGTCCATTTTTGTGATTCTGTTCCTGTTCTACTTGTTTGCTTATTTGTTTTTGTTTTTGTTTTAGGTTTGTTTGTTAATAACTGTGGGTTTGTTGTCATTTTACTGTTAATATTTTTTACCTTTTTCTTAATAAGTCTCTTTAACATTTCATATAATAAGGGCTTGGGGATGATGAACTCTTTGAACTTGACCTTATGTGGGAAGCACTTTATCTGCCCTTCCATTCTAAATGAAAGCTTTGCTGGATAGAGCAATCTTGGATGTAGGTCTTTGGATGTCATGACTTGGAATACTTCTTTCCAGCCTCTTCTTGCCTGTAAGGTCTCTTTTGAGAAATCAGCTGAGTCTGATGGGAACGCCTTTGTAGGTGACTGTCTCCTTTTCTCTTGCTGCTTCTAAGATTCTCTCATTTTTAATCTTGGCTAATATGATTATGATGTGCATCAGTATGTGCTTCCTTGGATTCAGTTTCTTTGAGACTCTCTGGGATTCCTGGACTTCCTGGACTTCCTGGAAGACTATTTCCTTTGCCAAATTGCGGATGTTTTCCTTCATTATTTT